TTTCGCACTACAAAGCAAGTTTCCCCATGATGCATTGCACCTGGGTGGTTTATAGCACAGCCCCCTGCATGCTGGAGCCTGTGGGTAGCACATGGTGTCAAGTGTGGAGGTGTTGGAGCGGCTTTTGCATCGAGTTTTGGAGCCATTCTGGAAATTGTTTGCCGTTGTTTTTGGGACTTTTTGGTGCATTTCTCAAGCTGTGAAAAAGTAGGGAGCTGAGCTGCGTCGTTTGCATGCCTTTTATTGTGTATTCTGCATTATGGTTTGGTTTCCATGCCAGCTCCTTTTTACTTTTTTCTGACCTCCAGAACGGATTAATTGGTTTTCAATGCATTCCTATGGGAAAATCGCGTTTCGGTTGACAAATTGTTCGCAATAAGAAACATCCTGGAGAACGCATTAAATTCGTAAACCGAGGTCCCACTATATATTTAAACAAATGGAGGTCATTTAGTTACTCCAATGGCCAAGATCTCTCTAATGAGACAGAGAGGGGTATTTTTTATATACACCCCTATATACTTATTAACCCTTAATAGGGAGCACATGGGATGGGATTTTGTATCAAATAGCTATGTTACAAAGCTGCCGTCCATCCCACGTGTTCCCTATTAAGGGTTAATAAGTATATAGGGGTGTATTTAAAAAATAACCCTCTCTGTCTCATTAGAGATATCTTTGCCAGAGGCTCAAGGAAGCAGAGTGAAAGGTCAGTGTAGGACCCACCTATGGGGGTCTGCCTTGATGTTGGCAGGTGTGCATTCCCTCCAATGGCCATATGAGTAACTAAATGACCTCCATTGTTTAAATATACATAGGGATTTAGGAGAGAGCACAGGTAACTTTTTCTTTGATTTTTGGATATGTTGGTCCTCCAGTTCAGGGCTATCAGGGGATGTGACTTTTGTGGAGTTTTTACAAGACGAGGACTCTAACAGCAGCAATCCATGAATACTCCTCAGTTCCATAACCTTTCCAATGCATCAAATAAAACAAAACACCCCTAGAAATCTCCAGTATGGAACGGACCTCCCGGCATGCAAAAAACAGAGGGAGAGGAAGAACCAACCATTTGGTGTATCGATTGCAAGTAAGCAGTTTCAATAAAGACACATGGAATGTGTTCGACAACTACAAATGTGCAGGAAGGGCGAGAGAGTACGTCACAGGATTAATGCGTCTAAGGACTCGGAAAGCACATATAAAGCGAGGAGCTAGTTTCATGGAAAGTACTTTCAATTTGATATGGAGCGTGGAAAGCCAGACCCTGACTCCAACCTGATAGACAGGAATGGCACCATGTTGCTTATCTGCCTGGACCTTAGTGCATCTGGAGGCCGATTGCAATGCTTAGTGCACCAAAGTCCACATGTCATGGATAGAAGCCAAACGGATGTCTCAAGCTGGAATGTTTGTGTCCGATAAATCTGAAGCAATAAAGTGGGGTGATGACCATTACTAACAAAAAAAAGGACTTAACTCAGAGGACTCGTGGGGTGTGTTGTTTCTGGCAAATTCAGCCATAGGTTAAAGTTCTGATCAGTTAGACTGATTAGCATCAATAAAGCAATGTCAATGAGACTCTAAGGCTTAATTGACTTGATTGGCTCTTTCAGCTGCTCCATTGGTTTGAGGGTGATACGAAGAGGAAAAAGAAAGTTCTATGCCCAACTGTTTGCAGAAAGCATGCCAAAACCGGGATACAAATTGTCAGAGACTATGTTTTTTGGTATTCCATATAGTCTAAAGATCTCACGTAAGAATACATGGACAAGATCCTGGGATGATGGCACCTTTTTGAGAGGTATAAATCTGTCATTTTGGAGAAATGGTCCACCACCATAAGGATAGTGTTATACCCATTAGAATTTGAGAGATAAACAATGAAATCCATGGCTAAGTGGGTCCATGGAGTGTTTGGTATGGGAAGTGGCTGCAAACACCTGGGAGGTAATTTTTGTAAACCTTGAACACAGCACAGATCCTACATGCTCCCACATATTGCTTGACATCACCTGTGATGGCCACCAAAATGTTCTAGTGATGGCAGACAGGGTTTTGTGTATATCAGGATGTCCAGCTGTCACTCACATTATTCCATGACAATGTATCTCAGACCTCGCTGGTGGCTTCTCTGCTGGTGCCTGAGTCTGAGCTGCTATTATGGCACAAAGGAGGGGAGAAGACCATTTCGATGCAGCTATAGCTATAAGACACTCAGGGGCTATGATAGGAGATGTCTTTTGGTCTGGTATCTCATCTTTATCATACTGTCTGGACAGAGCATCGGCCTTACTGTTTTTAGTGCCTGGTCTGTAAGTTATAACAAAATTGAAACGTGAAAGGAAAAGTGACCATCTAGCCTGTCTGGAAGACAATCCCTTAGCATCCCAAATATAAGCCGGGTTCTTATGATCCGTAACAATCAAAGGTGGCTCTTTGGAACCTTCTAAGAGATGTCTCCATTCTTTAAGAGCCAGAATAATGGCCAATAATTTCCTATTTCCGGTGTTGTTGTTTCTTTCGGCAGATGATAATTTTTGGGAGAAAAACCCACAGGGATTCAGAGATTTATCAGAGTTTTCCTGTTGAGACAAAATAGCTCCTACACCTGCCTCTAAAGCATCAACCTCCAAAATAAAAGGTTTGGCGGGATTGGGATGTGCTAAAATGGGTGCTGAAACAAATAAAGATTTAAGCTTTTCAAATGCCTCTATTGCTTCTTTGGGCCAAGTATTACTGTAAGCTCCTTTTCGGGTAAGTTGGTAATAGGAGTAATTATACAGACGAGAAACCTTTGATGAACCTGCGATAATAATTTGCAAATCCAATAAAGCGTTGTACAGCTTTAAGACCCTTGGGTACTGGCCACTGTAACACAACTTTCAGTTTGCGTGGGTCCATCTTGAAACCAGAGGCAGGTATTACATATCCTAGAAACTGTACCTCTGGTCAAACAGGCATTTTTCTAACTTACAGAATAAGCCATTCTTCAACAGGAAGAAAAATATTATGGTGTACCTAATGTAACACACGGGGAGAGGAAGACAGACTTGCACTGAGCTGCTCAAAACTGGAAAAGAATAGGGATTCACAAAAAACCTATGTAAAAGACAAGTTAGAAAACACTCTAGATTGTAGAGTACAGACTCCAGGAGCTAGCTAGTGACTAATGGCTAAAGTACTATGTATGGATAATCACAATAAAATAAAATTTGTGGAGTAAAATAGGTGAATAAAATAAGTGTAATTTAAAATGTGCTGTGCCTTTAAATGCTCAATATGGGCGGTGCCCCTTTATTTAAAGGATCATGACAAAAAAAACAGATAAAAAGAAGAAATGAATAAAGTAGGTAGGCGCCCAAGGTGCTTTCTTCAATTGAGACCCACTGCGAGCGGTATCATGCCAGTATCATGAGTGCAATCACTGCTGCCTTGTGGTATAGTAGGAAATCAGGGACTCCCATCCCTCCCTCGTCATATTGTCTATATAGGTGCTTCATTGATACCCTGTTTATTTTTCCTGCCCATATAAATGTGGTAAATCTTTCTGCACCTTTTTGAAAAAAAGATATTGGTGCAGGTATGGGCAATAAACGGAAAATATACGGAAAATATATTGTAGCTTAGGCAATAACAATTTTAAATGCCATTGCTCTGCCTACCCATTAGATGTGTTTGCCTCTCATCGTTTGTTCTATCGCCTTCCAGACCCTGATATAGTTGTCTGTCAACTAGAGGCCTATGAATTGAATGTGTTTATCTGCCCAATCAAATCTATACTTCGACTTAAGGTATTGGGTGGTCGCCATTGTGAGATAAATTCCCATAGCTTGGGATTTTGATTCGTTAAGCTTTTAGTAGGACACAACACCATAGGCCATCAGGATTTTGTGGACTGCTGGTACAGACGTTAGTGGTTGGGTTAGTGTGATCAGGCAAACAGCTTGTGTTCCCTGTCCCCTATTTTGATGCCGTGGACACAGGGCATGGATCTTATCAGTGCTTTCATAGGTTCTAATGCTAATATATATAGAAGCGGCAACAGGGGACAACCTTGCCGTGTGCCACTAGTGCGCTTAAATCTAGTGGAGGTAAAGTCCCTTGTAGACAACATCGTCATTGGTCCATTATACAGGGCCATGATCTGAGATATGAATTGTTGCTGGATACCAAAGATCTTGTGCAAGAGATTGAACGCTATGTTGTCATTGACCAAAATGGTCAATGACAACACTGCCCATTTGGGCAGTGGAGTGGAACGGTCTAATATTGTTTTGGGTATAAGAACTGCGGTGAGTTTATTAAAGTGCGTCTTCTGTAAGCACACTATGTCACTCTGCCATTTGGACAAATCTTTGTATAACAGCTTGCGTTTGTGTTAGGTGTTTAACCCCTTAACGTTGTTTGTGACTATTTTCATAAAGTTGGTCAAGGTTGCAGGGGCTGTTAAATGCCTGAAAAATCTGTTCTGACCTAATCACAAGTTCTGGTATCACAGAATGGTGGGTAAGTGGGTGGGTGGTAAAATAGAGGGGTATGATACCATAAAACAATGTACTTGAAAAAAAGTATTAAACAAGATAGCCCTGTTACTGTCCCCCAAGGGGGTTGAGTTGCCAATAACTAGGCTCAGGCAACTACCTGGGAACGTGGTTATAGTGACACCCGCCAGTGCGTCTAAGTAGTCAGCCTACTGGCGATGGCACTATATGCTAACTGCATGATATGCTTAGGTCACAAACATTTTCTTAACACATATGGATGACTGTAGTCCGCACAGGTTTTGGTGCTCACTCTATTGCCTGTATACAAACTTTTTTTGTATTAACTTAAACATTGGACTCATAGGTGTGAGGGTCTTAATTTGAGCACCTGGGCCTGCCTTGTCCCATTGTCTAAATAACACAAAACCACCCAGCTGCACCTTATGTGCTATAAACAAACACTTTTGTATTAACATGAGGAAGGAATCTACGTTACCCAAGGGGATCTGTCACCCCATGCGACGGTGGTTATACACGGTCTTATGAGAGTTCGTGGTTTTTACCGGACCTTTTGCCATTCCGGGGACAGTCTCTTGGTGTATGGTGCAGATGGTGATTTTGGGGCCGGGATAGGTATGTCCCATTCCTGTAGGATCTTGCGTCCTTCCTCCACTGTCTTGACCGCGTGTAAAGTCCCGCTCCTCGTCACTTGTGTCCTGGTGGGAAATCCCCATCGGTACGGTACATTTTGAGCCGGAAGAAACGCTGTTATTAGGGAGAGTCCTCTCTGAAGCAGGGTGGTTGGAGAGAGGTCAGCATAAATTTGCAGAGATTTGTATTCCGGTTGGTGGTCGGTTTTTGCAGCAGGCTTTCATGATTTGGTCTTTAATATGAAAGTAATGGATCAGCATGAGCACATTTCTCAGTGATGATTCAGGTATGTGTTTCAGTCTACCAACCCTGTGGATGCGGTCTATTATGAGGAGTCCTGGGTCCACTTCTGGCAGGAGTTTAGTAAATAAGGTAACGTATTGTAGTAGGTGCTTGTTTTCTATGGATTCCGCAAAGCCCGTTATGCGCACATTATTCCTCCTTGAACAGTCCTCCAAATCTGTCAGCTTGTCCTCATGGCTTTTTAATCTGTTTTCCATGTCTTGCATGACATCCGCCATTTTATTTTCTATGTGCGAGATGTGCTTGCCCAAATAAGCCTTATCTTTAGTTATGTTAGCCACTACCTCTCTGAACTGATGCATCAGGGAGTTGTTTAGTGAGTCCAGCAGGGATTTCATCCTCATTTCTGTTATTGGACCCTCACCTCCCATCGGAGTTTTGTTCCCAGGATCTGATAATGGAGTCTATTCATAAACAGGACTATAAATAGGAATCCCACTTATACTGGAAGAAAGGAGATTCAGTCTAAGACAAAGAAAGGGCTTTTACAGTAAAAAAAATAAAGATGTGGAATTATCTGCCTTAAGAGGAGGTTTAATCATAGTCTGCACGTGTGTTTAAATAGCAACCGGATAAATACTCACAAAAAGATAATATTAGTCGAAATAATGTTTAATATTAGGGGTGACAGATTCTTGATCCAAGCAGAGATCTGACTGACATTCTCGGGTCAAGAAGGATTTTGTTTGTTGCAAAATTGGGACTTGCCTCAAACTGTTATTTTGTTGTTATTTTGTCAAATAGCAAAAACTGATGTGAGAAAAGCTGAACATTTTTTTTTTCAGCCTATAAAACGAAGTAATGAATTCTCAGCAATCCATGGGCACTCCTAACCTAATCCTGACAGTTAACTGCACACTTCCCAAAATCCCTATGAACATATAAATAACTGGAGGTTTTCTTTGTATCACTCCAATGGCCATTACACTGTAAACTCAATTGCCATGTGAAGGCAACCATCTTAAGTGAGTCCTACACTAACAAATTAACTTGCTGTTTTCAGCTAAATGATCTATAACCTAGATACTGACAGAAGACAAGGTCACAAATGAGGTGTATTAAAAATGAATAAGGTAAAAATTACATTCTTATTGAAACATTACGTATGTAATGTCTTCGTAAGTGCCATGTGGAAGAGAAAGGTCACATTCTCATTAACTCATATGGTAAGAAAAATTAGTTGACAAAGTGTGCATAATATATTCTGCATAATGCATGCAATGATGACTTGTTGAATCAAACATGATTAGTGGAAAATTTAATATGCTTTAATGAATATAACAAATATAAAGTAATGTCACAGAGAATATACTTAAGAAGGTTCTATGTGTGTGCGTATGTGTATCCAGATACCTCAATTTTTTTCATTTTTTTTTTTTTTTTAGTAATTTTGAATGTTGCTACCTTGTGCTACAGTTGTTGAAATTATTTTTTTCTCAATCTAATTTTAATATCCCATAATGACAAAGAAAAAAATATTTTGACACCATTCCAATTATAATAAGCAGAAAAGATTAAAATATCAAATTAACATAAGTTTACAGACTCTTAACTCAGCTGAAGCACCTGTGGCAGAAATTATAGCCTCGGGTCTTTTTGATTATGATGTGACAAGCTTTGCTTACCTCAATTTTGGTAGTTTATGCCATTCATCTCTGCAGCTCATTTCAAGCTCTGTCATGTTGGATAAAGACCATCAGTTGACAGGCAATTTCAGGTCTCTCCAGAGATGTTCGATTGGATTCAAGCCCAGGGTCTGGCTGTGGCCACCAAAGGGCATGCAGCTTTGATTCAAGGCCAAATAATTGTAGATTATGCTAGCTTTAGTGTACCTATAATCTTAATTTTAATAATGACAGGAGGACAATATTTTCTTATGTCTCTCTTTACTAGAATGCCACAGCAGCACATTAACACAGAAGAAACAACTAAATAGCTTCCCCTTTCAAGCTGCGACAAAACAGAACAAAAGGCAGAAAAACAATGTAGAGAAAAAAACTAAGTCCTAGGATATGATGACTACAATGACTTCATCCATCCGAGAAGAAATGTCAAACATGACACCACGGACGAACTGTAAAGTGAAACGAGAGAAACAGAATTGAATGGACTGGTTAGATAATGAAATGTACTCTGAACAAACATGCAGGCACACAGTGCAACAACCAGAATTACCGTAATATACAGAGATCCCCAACCTTATGTTGGAAGCGGAAACATAAACAAGTGACAGGTAGCAGAGACAACAAGCATACCTTGTATACATACCTGATTACCCCAAACATCTGACAACTAAGCAAACAAGGGAGGGATGAAATAGGGAAGGGAATATTCACCTCCTATCATTATTATTAAGATTATAGGTACACTAAAGCTAGCATAATGTGGAAATGTATAACATGGCAGGAGGCTTCATATTTACCGTTTAAATGCTCAGCCAACAAATCAACATTGTTAGTGTCGCTGGTAAGTAATCTCATATAAAGAAATAAGTGCCGAATGTACCCATCAACCGCGAGATGTGACGGTAGATTGATCGAAGAAGATGCCAGTTGTTGATGATCCTCCAAATGCGGAAAAAAAACAAGCAAAATGCTGTTAGATTCGCTGTTCTTGGGTAGCTGTGATTTGGTTCCGGCAAGTCGAACATTCTCAGCCAGACACAATAGATTGAAAGGCACTGGCTGGCTTGGGCTTGCAAAAGAAACTGCCATTAGTACTCGACCCTTGATGAAGAAGGTGGCTTCTCCAATTGTCCAAGTGTCAGCCGTGTATGTGGGTGTGCAAGCAGTTCTCCAGTCACCAAGATGCGCGTCCGAATCCACTATAAAGATTGGGACAGGGCCGAATGGAACCTTTCCACTCCCCCTTGATCTACAAAGAGAGTGGCCTCATCTGAGAAAGAATCTACCATGCAGGTCAGCATGGGAGGGGCCCATGGCCGCACCCTAGATGTCTCCGGTACTTGAAGCAGAATGAGGAAACCTGTGTCAGTGGTAGACAAAGAAAAACTCCTAAGGGCGTGTCTGTACAGAATCCCAAGAACCTTACCCATGAGGTGACATGGGGCTTGATTTCCTTGGTAGGCTGCAAAACCTCGAGATGACCAAGGGGAGTGAAAATAGAGGTTGAAATCTTTGTCTGAAGGCACTTGGTGGAACACAAGGATCAAATTCTTAGAGCCAAAGGGTAGACAGACAGGCCTGGAGTGACCGGTCGTTCCACAGGGAGATTTGACTATTTATTTAGAGAATTCGACCATTAAGACCAAGACTTTTTTTAAACCCACAGATTCTAATTCTTTTATAAACATTAGAAGTGCACATCATCTGAATTGGCTTTGAGGTGTTTCACAAAGTCAATTCACTAGAATAAAAAGAAATTGTTTTTTTAGATCAGAATTTTTTAAAAATAAAAATTTTAAAAAAATGTTTTAATAACTATTTATATTAATATATAAAAGAGTTCATTATATTTTTGTAATATTACTATAATTAGATGTTATTTTTATAGTTCACTGTCATTGTGGTTTATTTCTATTTAAAAAAGTCTATTCATTGGGTATACTCTTCCATTTATTAGCCTTAAAATGCCTTTAATGAACTTAAAAATATCCCTTTCAGAGATTTCACCTTTTGTATATAAAAATTTGACTGCTTTTTTCTATCTTTCTTGTATGCTTTTTTTTTTTTTTTTTTTTTAATAAGTAACCCTCTCAATTTTATGACAAAAGTACTGTCTCTCATTGTTATTTTATTTCTGCTTTCTTTATGTGCATTTGTATTCATCCGCTATACGGATGGACTTCCGGGTTTACAATCGTGGAACGCAAGTATGCGTTTCACGTGATGCTTGGTATGATTTCCGAAGTATACCTTCAAAACGAGACTTGAAACGCATGAAGACAAGACCCACGATTACAGGTGACGGTAATAATGAGGTTACAATCCGATTGGATGTGGAAATGGCGGGCGATACAATCTCTACAGTTAAAAATGGATCGAGGACATCAAGCTTCTTTCTTTCACTTGACCCTGAGGAAGTCCTGTTCAGGACGAAACGCGTAGGGCAGAGAGAACAAGAGGGCACCTTACTTTTGTTATTTATATTGTACTATTTATTGTTTTATTTCATTTTGTTATTTTGCCGGCTACCATTAAGCACACCATCAGAATAGAAGGGACCTTAAAGACCGGAAAAGAAGTGTTTGATATACTGAATTTTAACTTCAATCCTGTGAGTGCAATAAAGTCTATATTAATGATTTTACTGGTGCAATGTTGTCTCTCCCTCTTAATCTTTTTATAAAGGTTGAAAAGGAAGAACATTGAGCTCCTCGTATTTCTACATGCCTGTAACTTACAACTATCTTGTAAGTGTAATTCAGACCTAAGCGCAGTGAATGGTCTTTTGATTTACTACACCATTATGGTTTTTTGGGTGTTCTTATATTCAGACTGTAGTTCCACAGGGAGTGTAGGAAACATTGGTAAATGGAACAGGAGCATACAGAATCTGGTGGTTTAGGGCAGTGTGTAAGTTCGCCCACCTTCTTTTGAACCAGTAGGCTGTAGACAAAAAAATAAAATAAAATCATGTCCAGTGAATGGGGTCTGGGTTCCGTTGTCAATCAGTGGGACTGTTGTCTGCATAGGGAGAGAGTGTAGTAGTCCGAACTGCTGGATACACTACCTCGCTGTTGTTCAGCCCTGACAAAAAGGGACCAGAGGAGGGTATGACGAAACGCTCATCACACTGAAGATAGGACATAATTGAATGAGGTATATATAAGACCGTGTGTGAATTTCTTACAAAGTTATTCTCAAGAATAGGCCCTAGGCCAAAGGATCTAGTTCCCTGAACTCGAAGTCTGAAATCTATACGAATGCCACCTATCTGCGTTGACTGCCCCATGACATAGTAGCTTTGCCTATTATGCATAGAGAACGTAAGGTCCCTTCTAATGACCAGCGAAACAAGGGAAGAGTTTGGCAAAAGGGCTTTGTGCTCCAGAGGCAGGATCCATGTCAGGGTTCGAGGACTTTGGATAGCTTGACCTGCGCCAGCCTCAGGCCTTGATCAAGACCCCAGCAGAGGGTCACGTCCTTACCTTTCAAGGTAGTTGGTCCTAATATTGAACTCTGAAGTCATTGCAACCTAATCAGGTAGTGATGGTCTGGGTCCACATGGCTGTCATTGTCGGTACCGAATTAGGTGAGTGAGCGAAAGATATAAATCAGGACGGCCTCCGTAAGTGATGCGTGTACAAATTGCATGTCCTCCGCAACCGAATCTTGTTCTCTATCTTCATCCTCAGAGGTTTGAGAGGTCCTCCTGCCATTTATCCCAAAATTGCTCAAGGCCAGGGAGTGCAGTACTGGCCCGGGGGCTTAGGTCTTTTCTCACGCTTAGCGCGTACCATGTACTTTCAGACCTGGGGTTGTGGATCTACTCCGTTCTAGTAGCACTTGCAAGAGAGAGCATGTCTGCTTTGAAGGCATCAGAATCTTCTGTTTCCTCCTGTGGAAGAAATTGCCTGTGGGGGTTGTCCATAATGACATAAATAGTAACATTGCGAGATTGTCTGGTCAATACAATGCAGATTATGAAAATAATATCCATATCTGTAATAACTGGGGCTCACCCAGTACAACTAAAATCCTCCAGGAGTAGATCCAGTAGAGAGGTACAGTTGCACTGACAAAGCAAGCCAATCATAGTAGCTGTAACAGCGACAGCCTGATCAAACAGCCCATACTCTGCCTGATAAGGTACCATGGAAGGGAGAATGTGGTGGGTGGTTCGCCCCCCACAATACCTCAGGGAGTATATCCTGTAAAGGAGTATAGTGGCCTGGGCAACGCGGGTCCATCATAGGAGCTGTTACAAAGACAGCCAACTCAAGCAGGTAGATCAGCTGAAAGATGTAATGTAGGTGTCCCTGCCGATATCCCAGCTGGTATGGCAGCGTTACTGGGAGGCTCCGGTGAGGAAGGCAGCGATACGTACATTAGTGGTAAAACTACAGTATGTAGTATAAATATCAGTATAGGGCTGAGTTCATGAGGGGGTACACACTCTAATAAGCGATCAGATCCTGTTTTGGTAAGAACCTGTAAAATAAACGAAGGTTGACAGTAACTAGCCTAAATAGCCATGTTGGACATAGGTAGGAGATGGGCTCACCCTCCAAGGGAATCAGTATCCTGCACTATAGTAAACTGTAAAGTAAGCAGTAAACCTACTGGAAACAAATATATGTACTGGGCTGTGCACATGAGAGGGGTTCACCCTCTCAAAATTGAATTTGTAACAAATCAGCATTGGGCAGAGTCAGTATAGGGGCTCACCCTCTAAGGGGGAAATTAGTATTGATATTACCCACGGGCTGTGTTTATGAGAGGTGTCGTGCCTAATCATTAAATTCATAACCACCAATTTGCAAAAAGTAATAATCAATACCTAATAAGGTTTAAAACGATATTGGTGGGCACACAACCCAGTTCGGGATGAGTATCTTGAACTATAGGAAAAGAGAAATCGCACCAAGTTGAATATAAGAAATCACACCACACTTTATTGTCCACAAAGGGACCCAATGCAAAGTAAGTTTTACTCTCATTTAAGTTGTTGCATGCATTTACTTCAAAACAGCTCAGTATCTAGATATATCAGCTTAAGCATACATCACCATTAGAGGGGATTGGTAGTCTCCTCGCTGCCAACAACTGGGGGAACTCAGGCAGTCAGACTTGGAGGGACCCTCTCTTCTGGAAACAGCACAGACCAGCAACACGCGTTCGTATTACCGGTGGGTAATTCTCCAAGGGAGTGCCAAATTCTCTCAGTCTTTTATACTTTTTTTATGGACAGTCTGTACTTCCACCATGGTTCCTTATCGATGCAGCCCAGCAAAGACCTTGTGCAAGCAGCTGGATGGGACTGGCAGTTGGCCAGGCCGTTTAGGACCACCAACAACGCCATGTCAGGTCTGTGCAGTTAAATTATCTCTTATCTAAAATCTATTTCTGTACTATTCTCGTGATGGTACGCATAAGTCTTCAATCAGTTTTAGTGCTGTGTATTAATAGCTGTGACATCCAGGCCTGCATCTAGTGATACTGCCTGTGTGTGCTTATGTGCTTACCAGCACTATCTTAACTATCTATAAGAGTTTATTTTGCTCGATAGTGATCAATCATTCTTAATTAATATGGAATATTATCACAGAGGGACGCACCCTCTAATAACGTAAGTAGGAACATATCGGCTATGAAGAAAGGTTAACAAATTTAAACCTATTTAGTTTAGAAAAACATCGCCTGAGAGGGGATATGATAACATTATACAAATATATTCGGGGCCAATACAAACCATTGTGTGGAAATGTATTTACAAACCGGACTTTACATAGGACACGAGGCCATGCATTTAGACTGGAAGAAAGAAGATTTCGTCTAAGGCAAAGGAAAGGTTTTTTACTGTAAGAACAATCAGGATGTGGAATTCTCTGCCTGAAGAAGTGGTTTTATCAGAGTCCATACAGATGTTCAAACAGCTACTAGATGCATACTTGCAAAAACAGAATATTCAAGGATATAATCTTTCAATGTAGGGTAATAACTGCTTGAGCCAAGGATAAATCTGACTGCCATTCTGGGGTCAAGAAGGAATTTTTTTCCTAGCTTGTTGCAAAATTGTGCTTCAAACTGGTTTTTTTTGCCTTCTTTTGGATCAACAGCAAAAAACAAATGTGAGGTAGGCTGTACTTGATGGATGCAAGTCTCCTTTCAGCTATGTAACTATGTAACTAGTTTCCATATCAGCGTCAGGCTGAATTTATGAGAGGGCCTCACCCTCTAATAATGCAATTGACAT